AAGATCACCAGGTTCCAACCCCCTGCCGGGAGCAGGGAACCCCACCACTAGATCAGGTTGCACAAAACCTCATCCAACCTGGCCTTCAAAACCTCCAGGGATGGGGCATCAACAACATCCCTGGGTAACCCATTCCAGTTCCTCACCACCCTTATAGTGAAGAGTATCTTCCTAATTTCTAACTTAAATCTCCCCTCTCCCCGTTTAAAACCATTACCCCTTGTCCTATCGGTCTTCTCTGATGAAAAGCTGCAGATCATTCAACCAAATGGATGATTTCCAGTAAAGGCATAGACTTAGCCTGACTCTGGCATAGAATTCCTACAACTCCAAAAGTCCCAAACTTGCAGTACCTCAGCTGTTCCTTCTCTATGAGACAGGTACAGTAACAATAGTCCCCTCCTCCACAGTCCCTGCAGCCTGGAGAAACTCCACATGCTAGCTACAATGCAACTGCAAGATGCTAGCAATAAGAACTTCATGCTACATCTGTTAATTTCTTGTTTTCATTATATATCTTCTCTGAAAGCCAGAGTCCCAATAGCTACATAGTATAAATATATATATTCTACTTCTGATAAACAGTTGCAGAGGAAGGCTTGAACTAAATGCCAAACAGATTTTTAAAAATCCAATTACAATATATGACAAACTCACATTTGCGACAATATTAAATACTCATAATGCCAGTATTTTAACAAAATTTTATTTTTATTTTTAATTGCTAAAAAACATTTCCTAAATAGGAAGCATGTGAGCAACTACTAGTTGGTCATGTTCCTAAGAGGCAGAAAAATGCATATAAAAAGGAGCTGGTGATGACAGCAGAACACCACCTGGAGTACAAAAGAAGAAACTAGGAGAAGATATGAGGCTGAGGACGAGATGAAGAAAGGGGAAGATGCTAGACTAGCTCTAGAAGAAGCAAATACACAAAGCCAGCTTTTCATCAGGTATGTAGCCATTAAGAGTGAAGTTATTTTTCTTCTCAGTAATATCTTTACACTTAGTGCCAGACTATACAAAATTACTTCTGTAGTCAGAAGTACCATCAGTGCAGTTAACACTAAAGAGAAGCATCAGCACCTCAGGAGTTAGTTAAGCTGCCTTCAATTAGAACTCCCAAGACACAATGCAGTTCTTTTCCTGTTTAACCAGATTTCTGTTATCCCAAATTCCATCAGCAATTCACATAAATGTTATCTGTATATGTTCTATGAGTTTCTAAGATCTATTTAGGCTACAGAAAAAAATCCCAACTAGATTTCCCTGTTTATCTTAACTATTATTACTTTTACGCAGTCCATCAGAGAAAACCCCACCATCACGTGCTTCCAGAACTCATTCCTACCAGCACCTCATAACACAGGGAGTCTGTATATCACATACTACAACACTGAATTGCATAATTGGCCTTCTTAAGGGAAACCTAGATCAATTTGTCAGGCACAAAGGAGTAGCAGAAATAAAAGGATACATGAAAACTACAGCTAAGCAGGAATAACCATCTCCTGCTTGCCCAATTCATACTGTTGTGACAGGAGAACATTCTGGCCCATGAGACTGTATTAGCATAAGCCAACATTTTCTTCCAACCTATTCCAAACCTTCCTCAAAGCCACCCCCCTCAAGGAAGTCCAATCTCCTGTCCAGGCTCAGTGCCTCAGAATGCACTGTGGCAAAGTCAAAGAAACTACCAGTGAACCAGCAACGAGTTGAGTGTGTAGGTTTCAAGTCAAAGCTCCAGCTTTCTAACCCAAGCAGGAATTCTGTCCTGTGTCTGCAATCCACTTTAACACTGTTCGCAGGCAAAGAGCAGATCTGAACATCTGCAGTTCCAATGAGCACCACTAATAGAAGTTTCCAGACTAGAACACACTCAAGATGTTCCTTGTCCATGAAGGTTTCTTCTTTCAGCCGCTTGAAAAATGAGGCCTGAAAATCATACAAAAGAATAAATAAATGCTTGATACCAGGAGTAGATAATTGTAATGAGCTCTTTCAGTTCCAGTCTAATTAAATGTTCCAATCAATTCTAAAGAGGAACAATGTTCAAGATAGGTGCAACTCATTCACAAATTATTTTCCCAGACTGCAACAGTAGTCTGTGCATCCATCCTATTGACAGCAATTAAGTCACATTCCATCAACTAGTAAAAATTAATCCAGACAGACCTGTTGAGATGCCAGAATATAGATTCTTTGGTCCATTCTGTGTTAATAAAGAAAATGGAACTATGAGTTTACAAAAGGTCTGAAAACCTCATTGCTGACTCTTGGAGGCATCTTCCAAACCAACACACTGCAATAAGCATGCTACTGTTTAAGAAAAGGCTACATTTCAGTAGCAACAATAAGACAATAGAGAAACTATAGCAAGGTAAGAACTCCTTCTCATCAATCAGGTTTATCTTATTTTCTGCTTCTCTAATACTATCTAACATAAGGAAGTATAACATTTATAGATTCAATTAATATTGCAGTTCCTCTAGAGTCTCCTGTGGAAAATAACACCCAATTTTTGCAGTCTAAATTGAACTTCATTAAATCTGCATCAAGTCTTAAAGCAAAACAAAATCAGTTTACTTCCAACTTCGTAACTCCTATAGTTCTCTGTGGTGCCTCAGAAGCTGATCTTCCCATTTAAGAAAATTTACCTGCAAAGCAATAAATCAGAAGTACATACAAAAGACACAGGTCAGCACAAATATTTTAGCATTGTATTATTTAAAGTAATTTCAATTTCAAGTAGGAAAAGTTTAAAACTAGTATATATTATAGTGTTTCTAAACCAACATATGATTAGTAAAAATTTCTGGCAGACTTTAAGCTCTAGCATTATTTGACATCCTAACTGACATTCAAATCATGCCAGCATTTACACAATTAACTTAAAACCACCTTTTTGTCCAACTGATGATCATGGACATATATTCATACTTAAGGAGACTACACAAATCCTTTAAACACATCAGCTTAAAAAAATCTTTTGAGACTAATAATTTTGTAAAGCACTTATCAATACAGCTTTTATATGCCATCATAATTAAATGTATTAATTTCACAATTAGAAATAAAGCAAGAATAACTGATTCAGTGAAGATGCTTTAATTCTCCCACCATCAACAGTGGAACTCAATTCTTCTAATATGCAGGTAATCATGTAAACAAACAAAGAAAAATTGCAAGAAGAAAAAAGATTTTTTTCTCCCACATACAAAGGCCAACTTGACCTCCAATCATGTACTTCAAAGTTATGAGTGGTTTAAATATTCTACTCCAGACCATCTTTCCAGGAAGAAACTCTGAATAGTATTAATTCCTCCAGAGAAATGAAATTCAAGCCTGTCTGCTCCTTGACTTCAAACTTCAGGTTTTTTTCAATGCACAACTTCCAAGAATAAGCTTCCTTAAAAAGGTACTATTGCATCTGTGCAGCATGTCCATCTTATCACTCTACATGAAGTTCTCAATACTAATCTTTGAGGCAGAGTACAGTTTCTATTATTACTGTTCTATCAAGTTATTAGTATAGATGTTGTTTTAGACCAGCAGCTCCACTGAGGCTTCAGCTCTCTGAGGCTTCACAGTAGTCTGAGAAAGAGGTCAGATCAGGTTGCCACTGATACCGTATCCACTCTATAGAGAGATGTATTTTAGGACAAGGTTACACAATAAAAAGAAATCTTCGCCTTGAGCTTCATCCTACTGAAGCTGCATTCTGCAGGAAACCCTCCTCCATAGTCTCAAGAGAACTAAATGCAGTGCTTCAGCTAGAAAGCTGATATAAATGAGCATGTATAACAGATCTGGAAGAGTGAACAGTAAGAAGCAAAGAAAAGTGATGTTGCAATTAGAGCACTAGCATTAAAACCAGAGGATCTGGATTCTGTTCCTAGTTCCACTTTCAGCTTCCAGTGACCTGAGTAAACTGCTGTCCCCTGCACGTCAGTTCATAACTTGCAGAGGAGGGATAATGGGAATTTGTCTACTAATAAGAGCATTATGCAAATTTAAAGATAATCTGATAATAATCACAAGGCTGTTTTATTTCTGGAGTTGTGAAGCAGATATATTTAGTATTCTAAAAAAGCCATCAGAAATAAGTGCAAAGAAGCCATGTTGTTCTACATCACAGTAGCAATCCCTCTTGCCCCCTAAGAAATGAATTACATAGAATATTGAAGAAAACCCTATATTCTGACATTTTGTAAACAAAACTTTTAATCTTTAAAAAATTGCTTAGCGCAACTATGTGTACAAAAGCATTACTAAATCAGAAACAGGACAAAAACCCACAAGCTTGAGAGAAAATGCATTTCTAGCTTTAACAGCAAGTGCCATAAAAACTAGTAATTCAAAATCTGCAATTTCTTCCAAGTATGCCAGCACTAGTGTGTCTTTAAAAGAAGCTGGAATTCAAAGTGAACTTGATTTAGCAAACCAAATCAGAAAAAAAATCCTATTTATCTGCAGAAAGGGACAGTGCAGAAACACTCTCTCCATACCACCCTGCCCCTAGCCTCCTATCTGAACTTTTATAGAGTAACACATTCTCAAACTGAACATTTAGAAACTTCAACTAGCTATCCCATGAAGTGGACCCTCATGATGCCAGATGAACTATAATGATTCTTCCATGTCATCCATCATCGGGAGATTATGTAATGGTACTATGATCCTATGGAATGTAGACATTAAAAACATCTTTATATTTCCTTTCAAGTTGCATTTTTAGTTTACTTTTTGTTCATGAAGTGAAGATGTATGTAACTGTATGTGAATATTCTCCAACAAGAAAATAAATAGCTAGTAGTCTCAAATAGTCACCTGCAAACCAAGCAAATCAAGGATTTTACTGTGGCAAGTCGAAAAAAGTAATTTGTTTTAAAATTAGGTATATTTACAGAGCACTTTTTTTTCTGGCTTCAAAGTATAGTTTCTAGAAAAGCATGCCCTAATTATAAGTTTTTATAGTTTTGCTAATTTTCAAACATTTGAAAAGAAAATACAAGTTGTTTTATAAAATTGTTTTTCTTGTTTATTTTAAATGAAGCTGGTACAGACAATGTCCATTCAAAACCCACGTCCCAGGCCAAAAGGTACAAACAAGAGTGTCAAAGTAACACCAGTTGTGTGCTGTGAACATTCTTGCATGAATACTTGCCTGTACTAATTGCTATATGAAGTTAAAATGCTTCTGGGCTCTTCTGGCAAGACTTAAAAATAATTAGGGTTTTCAATTTTATGTCTTCAGCAAATCCATCTCTGGAGCAAAGTACAGATGACAACAGTTCTAGCTTTTCCATTTCAGACTTGGTAAATCTTCTTTGTTGGGCCATCAGCACAATTTAAGCAAAATAGCTCTGAGTTATGGATACACAATTTCTCCACAGTTTAGTTCTCTGAAAAACTTCATCTCGCACTGAAAGTTATAGTCCAGGAGTGAAACAGTCACACATCAAAACTTCAGGGCAGATATGGAAGTCATTAAGAACACTCGCCCACCTGGCAGATCTTACAGCCTTCGTGCCTGAAATTGCACGAACCTAGTGAACATACAAATGCATGTGTGTACGTGTATTTCTAAAGTGGGGGGGCAGAAGGGAAGAGGGGAGCAGGGTTGCAGCTGGGTCACAAAAGTTCAGCACAATGAAAACAGAAACAATAGTGTATAATGAGCACGAGAATTCAAAATACCAGAGGCTTGAAAATAAACTCCCAGAGATGGGGTGCCAGTTTCAATTCAGTGTTGAACACCACATTACAAAAGAACTATTATTTAAAAATAAAAAAGGATTAAGGGGGAAGAAAACAAACAGAAGGATCTAAACTGTTGAGTGACCCCCCGTCTGTTCCTGATAAACTTCAATCACATCTTCCTCCTCCATCCCCAGCTGTGAGAACAGAGAAAAGACAGCATATAATTGTTATAAATCTGGCATGCTGAAATCAGAGCAGCTCCTAGACAAGTTATACAATGTTTTGTTCCTCTGTCCCATCACAGTTCAAAGGGGTGAAAAAAAACTTCAGTCACCATCTCACTAACCAACACTCCTGATTTTTCATCCTTTTCCTTCAGTCTTACATATCTCAGTCAAAGGAAAAGCTTTATCACTGAAGTCTAAATCTGATTGTGAGCAGTATGTATCAGCCTGGAAGCTGCTAGCTTTACTTTTCTCTAAATCCCTTCTTGGGCATCGGATGCATAGAAATGTAACCAACGCCATAGTACATGCACCAGTTGTACAGCCACATGTATTACATATAGCACACTACCAGCTCACAAGATAGCTAAAACCTAAAGCCTGTTTACAACTGTGCTCTCAAAGAGGGCAACTTATTCAATTTCATTCAAAACAGTACATAAGTTTCTGATTTTTCAGGCCATAAACACAAGTGTTCCTTCCTGCTTTGTCATAACAATTGGTGGAAGTCACTGAACATCAGAAGTAACCTGACTTCTGTTTACTTACACTTCAATCTAATAAATGTGAACTAAAAACAGTTATTCCAAAGTCACGCTGAAGTTCTAGCTCAAGAACTGGGAAGTTCCATTAGATTTTTTTCTCTGATAAGCAGTGACTACATTCTTCAGAGACAACATGAAGATTCAATTGGTCTCCTTCTGAACTGCATACCATCCTTATTATAGATTGTAGTGAGACAAACAAATTAAGACTGTATTTAACTAAGTATAGTCCAAAAAGTTGGCTATCTTTCTATTTAACACCTTCATTCTATTTAACAGTCTAGCAGAACAGAGAAACTAGCCAATTTGATATTCAGTTTCTCTAGTGAACTGTGCAGCACTTTTTCTAGGAAAAAAACTCACCTCCTTGGGGGTATGATTATCAGTAATTCTCTGACCCTCGAAGAGGAACCTGAGTGAATTCATTGGAACACCCTAGAAAAAGAAACAGATGTACAAGAAAAAAAACTTACTGAAACTTGTATGGATTTATAAGCACAACATTTTCAATGAAAACACCACATGTGAAAGTCAAATGTTAGTTCCTGTTATGCAGGGAGCTCAGCTATTCTTTTGCAACTGTGCAGATGACAAAGTGACTCAAAGAACATGACAGTACTGAAACTTATTTATTCTAAAGTCTCACTGGAATTCTACCTCAACAGCCTGGAAGTTTCCTTAGCTTTTTTCCCCTTGTCATTTTTTTTCTTCACAAATTACATACTGACTACACCCTCTCTTCTGAGACAACATTACACATGAAGGTCCTGGTTTTTTTCTGAACTGCATATCACCCTTATTAAAGGAACACTATGTTTACTTCATGAACTCCTACCACAACAGGTAGGAATAGTAACCTTTACTGTTTTCAGTTCTGCAAAAGCTCTACAAAAAAGAGCTGAGTGAGGCAAAAAAGAAACACCAAACAGGGAGATAGGAACATCCCAATGATAAATAAAATAAAATTACAGTATGCCTATTACATGGTGTGCCTGTATTACAGCAGAATATCATACTCCACCTCAATAGATAAGGCAAACACTTTTTTCTTCTCTCTCAAGTTATGAGCAAAAAAAAAACACAAGTGAAATATGACCTGGCTTGCACATCAATTAGATCTGAAATATTGCTTGCAAATAACTACATAGAAAAATCCACAGGAAAAACCCAGCTCTTCACAGTATTCCAACAACCTCTCTGGCAAACTTGGAAGGCATGGTCACAGTTCCTTTACCAGAGAAGAGCTACTTGACACCAAAAACAGTATTGACTACTGCTGAAGGAAAACAAGACAATCCAGAATTCAGCACAGAAGACAGATTCATTCAAACATTAACTTATTTTGTAAAAAAAAAAAAAGTCCACATACATACATTTTCATCACTCAGTAATACTCATGTATGATTATTTCTAAAATCTGACTTTAAAATTTCAAGTTTTTCAAATGAAAAAAAGTTTAATTTTTTAGACTTGGCTACAAAATCTCTGGTGTTTGATCTTTTCTTTCCTCCTACTCCAGAAGGACAGCAAAAAAGAACACATTCTATAAAAGAAGAGTTCAATTCACCAGTTCCACTTTCCCCAAGCCATTCTGACAAAAAATAAAGTATTATTTCTTATATTTCCTGAAGTGAATACCAACACAGTTACTCAAGAAAAGATCACACAAGGCATCTATCCCCAAAGCTGGGGATAAACTAGGCCAGGGCTTCTGGAAGCAGCATCAGTGAGTCCATAATATCTGCCATAGCATCTGAAATGAAGACTTTACCTACATTCACAATTAATGTTGCAGATTCCTTTACCTTAGGGCATAACAACTAGTACTAATCAATTAACATATTACAGCTGTAACAATGCCTAAGGCTGCTTTTTCTTACCCTAAACATTCTACAGCTTTAAGGGAATTTTGCTTGGAGACAGATTTTACAGTAAATATAAATGCATGCCTCGGCAGTTTAAAAGGTAACTTCTATGCCTTCTGAGCAGCCATTGTATATTTTCAGTCATTCTAACTTGCTACTACAAATTTGCAACTGTCTTAACTAGAAATACCTTTATTTGGCAAAATAAATTTTGAGATACATAGTATTTGTACTGCCAGATACCTGTCCCCATGATAAGTAGACAGAAGTTTGACTGTCTCAACAGATGTCTTTATTTGAAAGAAGTGAGAAAAGTACAGCTAAAGTGTTTGGCTTTATTTTCTTTTTAAAGGCAGAGTGTCACTGCTTCACAAACCTGTCTTTGACAGTACGATTCTTTGAGTTTCTTGAGATGTGTTGTCATTTTCACCTTGAAGTGAATTTCACTGCTGTCCTAAGAACAGAAAAGAAAGAAGTTACTCTCTTTGTAGTAACTGCTTACTTTATCTATGCAAATTTTAAGACTTTCATTCAGAAGAACAATCAAAACTAACATTGAATACAGTTTAACTATCACCATGCATAGCTCAGTGCATGATAAAATGAGCCTTCAGGATGATGTATCATTCACTAAATTCATCATGGCCTTCCACAGTTCAGAACAGATGGCACAGTATAGCCTTAGGCTCACTATGAAGGTTTTTTATTTAAAAGTATTAAAAACCATACATGGTTCAGTCTGTGCTTCCATCTTTCCTCAGCTGATATACTTATGAAATACAAACATACAAACACAAGAACTTCTGTTCTAACATTCCAAAAGACACAAGTTAAAGCTTGCAACTCAAAATATATACAAAACCTTGTCCAATTAAGGTAATTATCCAGAAGTTAGGATACTCAGCAGACTTGGCAACACAACACTAACCTAAGGAAAAATTGTAGGTCTCATTATTCTATAGCCTATCAGCCATAAGATGAGTAACTACAATTATCAAGATGGCTACAGACAAAACAGACTGCAAGAGATTCTGTACAAAAAGCATGTGGGTCACGTTTAGCTTCTGAATGTGTTATAATCATTGCTAACTAAACTAGCAAGAAGCAAGCTAGTTTGTGTTAGTCCTGCTTAAAGTCATCCATCTCCAGTCAACAGCACAGTAATTGCATTAATACTCCCATAAACAATAATGAGTTAAGTCATGTGAGCCAGAGGTTCTTTGCACAGAAGGATTTCTGTTCAAGAAAGATCTTGACATCAACATTCCAATGCAACTTGAATTCAGACTTATACATCTATCAACATGCCAGCCAACAAAATCCTCTTCCTGTCCGTCCAAGAAAGCTAATCTCATGCTTAGTGTACTAAATGAACTCTCGACACCTGAAGTTATTAATTTTGCCACATATTTAATTCATATCCTTGGATAAATTAATGTCCTAGTTTTAAGATAGGGATCATTCTAACCAAATGCTGAATCACAGGAGTAAGTCACTCAAGCTTTTAAAGAAAATTGGCAATTGGTAAGTCATTTACAGCAGGGAAGGATCTACACTGAAGAAGTGCAAGTATGAATTTTTGTTTGTTTACTTCTACAGTACAAAACCTCACACCTCCACCAAATATCAACAAGTTCTTATGTAAAAACTCACCTGCCCAATGACTTTGAGTTTTATGTACTCCCCTTCTTTCTTGTCTCCTAAGTCTTCAGCTGAAGGTTTTGCTTCCTGCAAGAAAAACATTAAAAAAAAATCTAATCAGTTCAACACTTATTTTCACTGGACAGTAAGATAGTTATCCTCCTTATTACATGACATCAGACTATCCAAGGCACCTTCTTCCTTTCTCTGTGTGAAAATAATAGCAACACACAGTATTATGAAAGGCTGTCTGTCTGCCTGTACGAGAAACACTGAAGAACTTCAGAGATAAGAGAAAGATCATTTGGAAATAGATGACACTCACAAAAAATGAGACGTATGATTTTGTACAACTCCTAGTCAACAGACTGCAAAAAAGAAATACGGGAAGTTTACTAAGAGGCTTATATTTGACAGGAAAAAATAACAGTAGGAGGAGGTAAACAGAAAGCACTTAAGACACCCTTTCAGTGTTAAGGGAGTTAACCATGGCAACATTTTTCAGTCTATTGCTTCAATACTAGTCACTACTTCCAGAAGGATGGTCAGCCACCCTATTTTCAGTGACAACAAAACACCAACAACTAACAGCTTCCTTCTAGCATGCTTGCTTTAAGATCACAATACTTAAAGGTTCTTAAAAGTTGCAGTTCTTTGCAGCATAAGAATTGCACAGACAAGTTTGATTCAACAACTTGAGCACTAAAGCTCAAAAGGGTTTAAGTGTTATGTTCCATAAAACATGAACTGAGAACATAAGTTTTCATGTTAGCTGCTGACAGATAAGGCAAATGAAAGGTCCAGGTACTGTTAACCTCATCCCTGTCACAACATACTCTGGATCAGGCCTTTAGTTTATGTTGCACTGCAGCACAAATGGATTTTACACAGACATTGCCTCAGGTTCAGATAATAGCTGATGAAATCTTGCCAAGTAGTCAGAAACTAGGATACCCTACTGATCATTTTTTAAGTACTCCTCTTATATTTTATTGTTCAACACAAAAGACCAAGTAAAATACGTACAGGTATCTACCACATACATTTTCCCAGCCCTAAACAGACTACTTGCCAAGTATTACAGAAATATCCTTTGTATGATTGGACTTGAACTTCAGGACCAACCCCCCAAAAAACACATATTGACCTTTTGTATTAAGTCCATCCAGATAGCTCTCTGTATCTGGATTTAAACAGCAGACCAGCTCCTTCAAGAGTATTTTTTTTTTTTCCCCTTTAAGAGGCTGAAAAATGTCCAATTACTCTGAATTTTAAAAATGCAGGGAAGGGCAGGGAGGAAAGTCTGCAAACATCTTCCCTGTCTGTACCAGTCTCAGTCTGAAGGAACAAGAAAGGAAGTGCTCTTTGTATCATTTTGACTCACTGCCTCAAGCCATTCAGTTTCTGTGATGACAAAAAAGTATGAGCAAGAGACTCCACATGGTTTTCACTTCTTTTTTTAAATATCCACCTGAGCACAATCTGGACTGCTAGGACTGACTCGTCACCCTTCAAGCTCAAACTGGAAAACTGACCCTAAGCTTTCAAGAAACTACACATCTGCAGGTTTCCAAGCAAGTCACTTCAAAAGTGTGAGTCTTCAATGGTAACAGTCACAGTAACTATGCTCCCCACCAAAGTTTTCCCTAACATATCTGAACTCTAACCTCATGGGACTATTTATGGCAATAAAAATACACTGCTTTCCACTTCTGACTAAAAAGCAAAAAAAAAAAAAAACCCAACGAAACCCAAACAAACTGTGACTTGTTCAAATAACTTGCGCAACTTGCATTTTTACTGTCCATATGCAGGATTACTAACCTCCAGGAATCAGAAAAGAGTTTCAGATCTCTACAGATCTGAAGTTTGCAACTTCAAAACTATCTCCTGTTTTGCCATCATTGAAAAAAAAATATTTAAGAGCATCCTGTCCCTTTACATGGTATTTCAGGTCAGTCACCAAGCTGCACAGTGGCACATAATCCCACCAGTCCAGACATTTGTAGTAGTTCATACAGTTCTGTGCATTGCAACAGATCTACCCGCTTCGCTTTCCAAAACAAATGAACCTGTACAAGCTACAACTTCTTATGAGAGTGCCTCTAGCCAATATGAGTGGAAATGAGTGATTCAAAAGATGTTTGATCCCTATTCCCAGGGAGCTACAGTATTAAAAACAAATAGGGGAAGCAGGAAATAGTAAAAAAAGCAGAGGGAACTGGAGTCTCAAAGGATCATACCATGAAGATGTTCCTTTAAAGCTCGAGTAAGCTTTCGCCCATAAAATAAGAGCAAACAGAGCTGTAGTTTCAGGAAAAAGAAAGTAGCAAGATCAAATCTGTGTTGACAATGCCAATAACTGAAGCTTAAAAAAACCCACAAACAACAAGCTATTTGAAATCAGAACACAAGATCCAGCAAGTATGAAATAGCTCCCTGCACTTTGCGAGTGAACTGTAATTCCATTCAAGGCCCAATGGTAAAACTAACACAAGAACACTTAAAAACAAAGAAAGCAAAAAAATTGCAAAGTCACTAAACCACAAGCATTCACTAACACAATTCTGAATCAGCAATCTTCAAGCAAGCCTTCAGACTTTCTACTTGCATTGTAAAAAAACCTGATGTTTAGGGTATCTCATGAAACAGTACATAGAAAAAGACTGCCATGCAAACAGAGCAGGAATACCACAACACTCCAATTTCTTAACTTTTCACTAGATACCTGAAGTTTTAAAGGCTTCATTCCACAGTCTTCCTAAATAGCACAAAATAAGGGTCCTAGTACTGTCTCACATTTATATATGAATATTAAATTAATAACCATAAAAAGCACCCAAGGTTTATTGGGTGAAACACACTGGTATTGCTACTGCAACTAATGAAACCACAAAAACACTTTAAGGCAGTACATTCTAAGTTTCCTCCTCCAATTTTCTGAAGTGCTCAAACTGCCATATCTGAGCCTAAGAAAACTGTTATACTCAGAACACGTTAGATAATATTTAAAAAAACAAAATTTAAAACACTAGAGAAATACTGTTTCAACACACTTCCTAACATATAAACTCTTACATTTCTTACAGAAGCAGAAAAATGCATACAAACAACAGCATTCTTTGTTAGTAGCACATGAGGAGACAAAAATACCAGCATCTAGATTCAATTAAAGCAAAAAAAAAAACCCAAGACCTTTGAAGGATGAGAAAAAAACCTTTTTTTGTTTCTGCTTAGATCCCAACAAGCTTCCATGTGTTTTTTAAGTCTGCCTTTCTTGCAAGAATTTTGACTTAGCATAAAACTTAATTTCCTACTGGAATTAAAGTAACTAAATCAAGTATTCTGCTTTATTTATAGTAAACGGACAAGCCAAAATTATCATAACTGGTGACAAATTACGTCCTCTTAACCTCATTCTAGGCTGCAGAAAGGAAGACACTGTAAGCAATCCAGAATTTTGGGTAATCCAATTGTTTCTGCAGGGTTTCTAAACAGAGGAGTGAGATGTACAGTGTTGCATTACCTGTTATACTGTTACTTATCTGTTTAGCTCTTGCTGCACAATCCCCCAAAAGTGCATGAAACAACATAACAATGCTTAGGTTATCTATTAAAGAAAAAATTAAAAATCGAGATCCTTATTCAAAGACTTAAAATATGCATCTAAAAAGGTCATTGCATATGATGAATTTTATGTACTTCGAGCATTCCCAAAGAACAAATATGTATTTTAGCAGAACCTGCCCAGAAAAGGAATTACCTAATTAAAACTATGTGTTAAAACATGCCTTAGTTCACAAACGCAGAGAGCTACAGAGCAGATCAGGAGAAGATCTGTCTACAAAATCAAGTTCAAAATTAGCCTTTTCTTGTGCAGCCACTTTCACATACTTTACTACACGGGAAAGTGTCCTGATGGGTGCCAGCAGAAGCTGTGCTCCTGGCTGCAGTCCCACAGGCAGAAATAGGCTGCAGCACATCCTCACCAGTAGATTGATTGTGCTGGGAAGCTGGGGGGGTGGGGAAGAAGACCACCAGTGCATACAGCAACGGCTTTTATTCACGGATTATCATGTATCAAGGCTGTTTCTCAAAACAGACAACATGCACTAAACTTAGTCTCGTCTCTGGATACTATTAATTTCCTGGCTGGCACCAGTACTGTTCTTGACTTCACTGCACTGCAAGAAACATTTGTAGCTGACATTGATTTTTCCAAAGTCGAATCGTCATAACAAAGTTCGAAAACACTGCCACAGGAAGGCAATATAACAAAAAACCAAGGCAGAGCAGAACGTAAAACCGAAACGCTGTTCCAACTTCCTACCAGCAGGTCACACAGCCCAGGCCAGAGCTGTAAGCAAAGGGCTTACACATGCCCGCCAAGCCAGCCGGCAACTCGTGATAAAAGTAAACAAGTCACCAGCTGAGAAGTCAGAATTAACAAGAACGTAACGATGTAAGAGGAGCGGAGGCAGGACGGACTCGCGGCGAAGGACGGCGCGCTGGACACGGGCAGGAACCCTGCGCTGCCCCCGCGCCCTTCGCGTTCCTCGGGCAAGCAGA